GAACTCTGAGCAATTCTGAAAAAGGCAGAATTCGAATTAGATTTGCGATGGAGGATTCGTTTGTAGCCACCATCTGAGTGCACATGCATTCGTGTGGCGGCTCTGGGCTGACCAAGTGTGGATATAATGAACCTCAACCGAAAACTTAATCCAAAGCTACACATTGCACTACTCGCTAAAAATCAGTAATTGCCAAAACTAAGTTGTAATGATATCGGACGATGGTGGCTTAGTAAAGAAGTTCGCGGCAACGAAAAATGAGCATATGCGCTATATCGCAATTAGTTACTGTCATGGTGGCTATCGCTCATCCCCGTAGTCCACTGGGTCTTTAACCATGTATTAATACGGTTTGCCCTATTCTAACCATTATTCCGCTGGCACAATAGCTGTTACCACAGCTTATGTTCAATACTTTACGAAAACTTCAGCAGCTTCACACCGGTCCTGGTACAACAGTTGCCTCGTCAAAACGCTGTTCCAAAGTTCCCCGTAGAATTTGCAGTCCTGAATGTATCGAACCTGAATTGGTTCTTCACACAGGACGTTGGAGGCAAATGGCTACCTGACAGCGTCCATTAAGTTTCACAGTCGCACGACGGGAAAGGAACAAACAGAAGCCCCCAAAGGTGCCAAAAATGGCCCTTCTATCTCTAATTCCCATTCAAAGGGGATGATGTGGCTACGCAAGTCAAGCGGCGTATGCCACAGCAATTCGATGTACATTCAGTGCTGCAAAACTGTGCCCAATTTGGACAATAAGTAAGTGCTAACGCCTCCGGTTATGCCTTACGCAATCGGCTCTGTGCCTCAACACATGGCGTTTACAACTTTGTCTGTAACTGTGGAAGCAGTTACCCTCGGCAGTACAGATCGGTGTCCTGCGCAAGCGGACCGATGCAAATATCCCGAAATGGGTTGCTATAGTAATAGCAAAGCAATCGCAGTGACAAGATGCAAGAGCCAAATCGTCGGCCTCATCGATCGCCAGACGTTTACTTGGAATGGGGCAGCAAATTGACTCTAACTTTGGCGTTTTTACGGTAGATACCGTTTTCAAACTCGCCGGAAGCTGTGGCAAATTAATCACAGTCGGTCCTAATCTGTGTGTACCAAAAGCAGCTGACTGTCACCATCAAGCTTCTTGGGAATCGTGGACACCTGTCTCTAATGGTTATGATTCTGTTAAAGTTTATGGCCCTTGTGTTTCCTTCCATTTCCCATTCCAACAGCATTTAAATCAGTAATTTTACCCTTCCGTGATCGTTACAAATCGCTCGGTTGAGTGTGGTCAGAAAAGCGCGAAATGATATCACTGTGCAACACCCGTCTTCTCATTGTGGTATTTAGACTGATGCAGGGGATATATATATATATAGTATATATATATTAATCTTCGTGAGCCCATGGTTTCGGATTTTAAGCCCCCCCCCCCAAGGGAGAGATGAAACGCGCAGTGTTAGGGATTCTTGGAAGAATGAAACGGCTGCCCAGTGCTTGTTCGGATGCGGGTTGACTGTGACGAATCTCGATCAAAAATCTTTTATTTGTCACTTGAGTATAACTCTAATGTACCCACCTCAGTCACTGATCACTGGATCGCACTTGGGATAGAAATAACCATTCTCCAGCGACCTGTATTGTCGGGTGATCTACAGTCTTTTACGTCCCACAGAATGAAGCAACGGACACTGTTCGGCGAATATGGTTCGAAGTCACCTCAGGACCTGCAGCAGAAGCCAGCCGATTAGTGGCTCACATTGAGGCACTACAATGTTTACCTGCTTGCCCTGTCGACCGAATCGTGAATATGGTCGACCACACAGTAAGTCATGTGAGCGGATATAAATGCAGACTGATATCCTTCAAACGATATATCGCCAAAGCCTTCATCCCAGTTTGTAGGTTGCTTCGTTTGAAGTGTTTTTGATGTGTTTCCAAGGTTCATGGCAGACACAGCTTGATATTCGAATAGATCTAAGCACACAGGGTTGCTAACCGCTCTGTAATGCCTGTACCTGAGAAAGGTTCGCTTGCGAATGAGACTCCATACGACAGCAGATATACTTCCTGTATGAGGCCGAAACACCAAACCAAGTGAGTAAACCAACGGTCCAGCAGTAAAACTAAGGTGCTGGTGTTTCACATTATTGTAAGCCACTTCTTGGATGGCATAATGAGGAACTTGATGATAGGAAGCATGTAAACTTCAGTGGGACTCGGCGGAGCGATTAAGGTAGTTTACCACCACCATAAGAGCAGTTGTGCATCAATACATCACCGAATTGCTTCGGTGCGCACCGACAAGTGTGAACAGAGTAGTAGTCGATTCTTTTCTATACGACTAATTGAGCACAGCTGTGTGGTAGTTCACAAGAGACACCAATAGGCTATTTTCAACTACACAACACGTTCTGAGACATGAATTTAGTTACCTCGCCCTTAATATATTGTGGATAAAAAAGCGGAAGCTTGAAATGTCCCGCCGGATGATCGGTTAGAGGTGAACAAAATAAAAGCGAAAATGGCAATAGGAAATAGTGAAAAACTGCAAATTGCGAAATTGCCGATTACAGCGTTCGCGTCCGTTTTATGTACTACCCAAGCTTATCGTCTGTGGTTTCCAGGCAAAAATGAAGGTGGGTTGATTTGTTTTAGTTTTTTCTGCTGTTTGTATGGGTCGTTTGGATTACGTGATATGGTGTAGTATGGCCAGTGCACTGTCGACGCGTGCTTTGAACACGGCTAACGTGGGAGCTGAAATAACAGCTTCTGAGAGGGTATTTCACGTGTGGCAAACACGCACCCATTGGTGAAAGTACGCCTATAAACTAAAACAACGCTACGGGATCACGGGCATCCACATGGGCATCGGCGGAAATTCCTCGCAGTTCGAATGTTCATCGAGTCTCCACGGCCCAAGAGAATGTACAAAGTCGCCAACATCACTGTTCGTCACTTATCATGTTGATTTCCATTAAAGTGCAGCTGGAGCAACTCCAGAATAGATGCAGTGTTATTTATGCACATGCCAATATCCCCTTACCGTAAGGGAATGCAGATGTTGGGAACATATGACAACGGCATTTCTCATTTGTGACTTCGGCACGTATATCTTCGTTTTAGGGAAACACGGCTCTCCACTACGCGGTGTGTCATGGGCGTTGGTTGGTCGTGGATGCACTCATTGCCAACTGTCCGGGCATCGATGTGGACACATTCAACCGGGCAGGATACACGCCATCTATGTTGGCAGCGGTAGTACTGGATCAGGTGAGTTGAGCAACACAAAACATTCAACCTGGTGTATAGTGAATACTGTGTTGTGTGGGAGCAAGTAGAGACCTAACCATGCACAACTCCATTCGGATACGATTAAAATTGTTGCAAAATGTGTATGTCACCTGTTAATGTGCTAATCGTTTGTCAACTGCTTACGTAGCATTCAAAGATACTAGACTCACAGTATCAATTGGCCCACAAATGTGAGATGTTAAAGTCAGTATGCAATCGTTCACTGAGTCGAATAGTGGTTAGATGTAATCCCAACAGAGTGTTGAACTGCTGCGAGGATTTGGTCTCTACGACATGTTCTAGCAGACTGTTCCAAACATTTACCACTTTGCGCTCGAAGCATAGGGGTTGGAAAATCGTTTCATATCCAGCACCACAAGCTTGTACCGATGTCAGCGTGTGTTGCATGGCATTCGCAAGTGGAGCAACGGTTTTATTATGGGGAAGTTGCTGACATGTAATACGCGGTAGGCCATGATGAGATGGACTAGTAACCGAGAGTAGGGAATGTTGTAGAGGCATAGTTACTCGCATCTGTCTTCCTACCGCCCGATAGCGACGTGTTGGAATTGTTCGAGCTTCTGTACCTCGAATCGATTGATTGGAAAGTAGGAGGGCGAGAGATACACTAGCACTGGTCTTATGATGGGGGAGGAGAGGTGAGCGGTTACCTGCGTTTGAGCGCACAAGGCATGCACAGTCCGTTTGGCTGTAGTCGGTTCGTGTTCTCCATAAATTTTAAATCGCAGCAAGTGAGTACACCTAGGTCCTTCACGGAAGGTATGGAATGCAACGGATTGCTTTCAAAAGCGTAAGCTAGGCCGTCACTACCCTACTTCAGGCCCCTGAATTCAGAGTTGGGTGGGTTGGCAGGGAGGTAGAATTCTGTAGACAATGCTGGGATGCAGTTGAGTACTTGCTGAAATAGGCCGCATTTGTCGGAACTGCCTATCACTCTCCATATCTCCAGGTCGTCTGTAAACAAGGCACACGGCGACCGGATGCAGAGGTAGACGTTCGGTATAAATCAGAAACAAAGTAAGCCCTAGCACCGTGCCTTGGTGTACGACACTAGTAGAGAGATATCAGACGTTTAAATGGTTGTGGACCTGTGTCCACTACTTTCGTCCGAAAAGCTTGCGGATCCACTGGTGCAGTGATTGACCAACATCCCAGACTCAGCCTGTGAAGGAGGACCTAATGTTAAAATTAACCAAGACTTCCTCGGGTTCCATGCTTGCGACCATCCATGCCTCCTCACCGGCAGGCTGGTAATGCATGAACGACCTAGCATAAAACTGCACTGTGCGGGTGACAATGGAACACTGGTATATTACGGGCAAAAAAGCAGATACTTAACAAGTCCTGTAGGATGGCCAAAAAGAGAACCACAATGTGGTGAATAGAAAACAAAGGGATAAAATGAAAATCGTTCTGATGGGCTCACCACAGTGTTAACAGAGAGGCACGCAGAAATGGCCAACCACAGTTGTTAATTCTGATTTTTCCACGTTCATCGTATTATATCGTCTGTCGAGACACACAGGCTATATCTCGTAGTGTAGATCTTTTGTTTGGAATATACATATTCAATATATTCAACATGGCCAATAGTACAATTGGTATAACGCCACAAGGTATTGGAAGCAAAATAAACAAACGAAGCGGAAAAAGAGTACAAAACAATGTTCATGGGAATGGTGTCATAACAGGTCCGTCATTGCGCACGGTTTCTTGCCATATCCGAGAGGGTTTCCAGCCATGTGTGTTCGTGATCATTGGGCCCCCAGCCATGGAGTCGAGAGCGCTCGACCACGACTAACTTCTGGCAGTACCTGTCGCAAACGCAAATTCAAGATATCGGCTACCTTGAACAAAATAGATAGCGAACAAATTGGCTCGCAGTCCACTATGCTGAGGCCACCGCCTTTTGAAATCGACCTTAACCCCAAGCATCTCCAATCAATCGGCAAGGAGCCTTCGGACAGTGATCTGTTCAACAAGTTATTTACCGTGTGCGAGAAGATGGACCATAAGGACTTTGAAATCAATGGGTGGAGCCAGTCGGGCCCAACAAGTTTGGTGTTGTCAAGGTTGACGAGCGGTTGAAGCACCTCTTCCACACCGCGATCCAGAGTGGCGAGTTCGGTAAGCGCGGCACACGTCGAACTCAGTCATTTGCAAATACCGAAGCAAAGTGCGCTGCCAACGTAACGGACACCCAACGGTGGTGGTTAGGGACTGTCCATCCGAGCTCTCTATCACTGGTAGATCACATTCCGGGTTCAGGCGGCACTTGCTCGTTCGTCCACTGTTGTGAACATTCTGCAGACTCTTATATGATTAGTAGCCTCTGGAAGAGTCAAAAAGAAGGAATTTGTCCCACAGTGCGCGCCGCTGCCGAGGCATTTTACCATACTCCTTGCCGACCTAATGTGGCTTGATTGGTCCAGCTTTACTAGACATCTGGGTACAAAGTGAGAAAACAGCAATCACTCCCCTCTTATATAATCGTCCAGTCTTCCAGAGATACAACTTACGACTGGTGTTAGATAGTCGAATTCAGTTCTCCAGAAGCTGTAAGTGGGTTCTCGCGAGATGCCTAGCGTTGTTCCTTTGATTTCCGAACTTAAGTTCTAGCAAGTTATCGTAGTAAGGTGTTTGCAATTCGCCAACTCGTAAGGATAGCTCCGCTACTTTGGTTGAACATCTACATACCAAAACCTAGGAGGATAGGAAGCGAGGCCATCATACAAGTTCACTTCGACAAGCGATTATTCCGCAATAGTAATGGTGCAACTTCCCATTCCATCGAACATTTATTTATAACGTTAGCCGGCAATGACAAGACTATTACATGTCCCACTTATCACTTATCTTGGCAGCTGCATCAGCAATGATGGGCGCATAGAAACTGACGTGAGCTCACGCATTGCAAAAGCCAGAGCTGCCTTCTTGAACCTGCGTCATCTTGGCGACAGAAGGGAGTTTCTCTCCCTCTGAAAGGCCATGTATACAAGGCCACAGTGAGGGCCGTTCTGCTCTAAGGTAGTGAAAATTGGCCCCTTCGGTCTGAAGATCTGAGGCGCCTTCAAGTCTTTGATCATCGTTGTTTGAGAAGCATTGCTGGTGTCGGATGGCACCAGCGTGTCCGCAACGATGATGTGCGTAGGCGAGTACTAAGTCGTGATAATCATGCTAGCTCCCTAGAACAACAGATAGCACTGAACAAGTTGCGTTGGCTCGGGCACGTACTACGCATGCCTGGTCACCGCTTACCTAGGAGGGCCTTGTTCAGTCTACCAGGTGTAGGATGGCGCAAGGCTCGACGTGGACAGAAGTTGACTTGGCAGCGGGAAATGAAGTCACTGACAACTAAACTGGGTGCCGTTAGTCCGTCTCGCCTTCCGGATTGGAGTCCACGTGACTCACCTTGTGCTTGGCTCGAGACTTTACAGGACATGGCTCGCAACCGACACCAGTGGCTCGTCTGCTGCCGTCTCCTAATCGGATTGCCTGTTTAAAGTGTGTTTGGTGCTGAGTTAGCTGCGGGGTAATGGCTGATTATGACGCGGGGCAGTGAAAGCCGCAAGGAAGCTGTCTCGCCGATGCCGCGTTATCTTTGCACGATAGCCAGCTGTTTGTGACGGAATGTTGTCTACACAAGGTGTAGGCGCCTTGACCCTGAATGTTTGCTTAGGGCATTAAGGTTTTCGAGTAAGTCCCCCTTCTCTCCCTCTTCTTATTCTTTATTTCATAGGTCCTCATGGTTGTATGACAGCGAAGCATCAGTTCAAATGGCTGATGTATTGCTGTTGATGATGATGACATGTCCCAGTGCCAGCTTCACGATGGAAAGTTCACAGTTGAGCAACAAAATGTTGTGCAAACCGTGCCAATGAAAACACGCTCATCAGGGGGTATTGAAGGTTCAACAAAGGCAGGAAGAGTGTCATCTCCACTGACTCGCTGGAGGACTGCATCAAAACGCTGTCTTGCCTCACCTAATTCTCGGTAAGGAGTGGCGAAAGCGACCACAAATAACGATAAAGGATGGATCTATTTCATCACGTTTAACACGTGGTGTCATGAGGTCTGGGTACCAGTTAGGTGCGAACATACGATGTGTATGAATTTTGCTGTCTACACGTAACAGGAAGTTCACAGACATTAGTCCGTAAACTAGATTGTCATCATCCATACGTTGGCTGAAAATGCAAAAAACATACCAGCTGTTGTGCCACGGTGCAAAATATTAGATGGTTTTAAAAAAAGAAAGGACCAAACTAGAACAAAAAGTATTATGCTTTGGTTAAAAGTTGCGTCAGTGGTGAGATGATGGATGGAGCAATAATAAACAATAATAATAATAATAATAATAATGTGTCAGCTGTATGCCGTAACGGCGCTTCGCTGCCGCGCGACCACCACCAGTCGCGCGCGGGCTGAGTATACCGCGAGGACGCCCACACCTACGCGGATTCGAACCGGTGACCTTATGGTTGCAAAGCAAACGTGCAGAACACTCGGCCACTGGCCGACTGGACGGGTTAATAGGCAAAGTCGAAAAGGGATGGACAAAGGAACTCACGCTATAAACGCCGATGAGGTCGTCCCCTGACCACGTTAACAAATTTCTCCTACGAAGCGTGTTCATCACCTTTCGGACCCCACTCTGGGAGTTGGAAGCCACCAACTGACGTCAAGCTCTGAATGAGAGTTTATTCCCTTTGTTCAAAACCTCTACTGGTCTTTCCTCTTTTGCCATCCCGACAACGGACGTGTAAACAACGTTCGTCGCAGCAGTCGGTGTGCTGGTATGTGCAGCACGTGGTCCAGCCAACAGAACCTGGTAAGTGAAATAATTGTGCGGAGCGGCTCGCTTGCTCTCCCTGGTTCATAAACAAAGTGGCAAATATGCTCACTACTCCAATGGTGTTCTCACCAACCGTCTCGATATCCACATGTGATATACTACCCTTAACAAC